CACCTGCAGCTCCTTGATCTTCTTCTGCAGCTGCGCCCCGAGGAGCTGCTCATCCTCCACCCGCAGGTTCAGCTGACTCAACTCGGAGTCCTTCCTGGAGCCCACAGCAGAGCATGAGCCTGCCCTGGTCCTGATTTCCATCAACCTGCCGGGGGGTCCCCAACCCCCCGCACATACCCTGCACCCAAAGCAGCCCTAGGTGACCTCACCCCTGCCTTCCCTCTCAAGCCCTAGCCTGAGAGCCTGGCCAGGGCCCTTGTCCAGGGAGGGCAGGACACTCTCCCCACCACCTGGTGACCCCCATCTCAACCCTCCATGTGCAACCTCAGCAGTCATGTGGAACTGACTAGAGTCCAGAGGGAGCGGGAAGCAGGTGCAGGCTCAGGGGGCCCCTGCCGGCCGGGGGTAGGTCTGCTGCCCACCCCACACCTACTTCTTGAGCTTCTCCTCCAGCTGCTGTTTGTCCTGGGCAGCGTCTGTCACCGACTCCTGCGTCAGCTTCAGGTCACCTTCGAGCTTGCGCTTGGCCCGTTCTGTGTCCATGCGCAGCTTCTTCTCCTGCTCCAGGGAGCACTCCAGCTGTGCAGTGGGGTGGGGCAGACCCGCTCAGCCACCGGGCACAGCCAGGAACCCTCCCCGTATTCCCGGTACCACCACTCGGCCCTCTGATGTGGCCCTGACTCACGTCTTCCACCTGCTGCTCCAGCCGGAGCTTGGCCTTGGCCAGGGCGCTCACACGGTCCTCCTCGGCCTGCAGGTCACCCAGGACCTGCTGGTGGGCCTCCTGCAGTGCCTTCTTCTCCTTGGTCAGCCTAGCCACCGACTCGTCCAGTGCCGCCATCTCCTCCGTCAGATTCTTCACCTGGTCCAAGGCCAGCGTCACAATGGGGATGTCCCTCCCACACTCTGGTCTGAGCAGCCACCCCTTCCAGTGAGCAAGCAAGTCCCTTCACCCGGAGCCTCATTTTTTCATCCTTAAGGGATGACAGTACCATCCTCCCTGAGTGAACGACACGGGCTGTTGAAAGGGTTCAATGACAGAGGGCGTGCGAAGGCGCCTGGGGGGTGCAGGGCTGGGGAGATGGGGTTCCTGCCCTCAAGGAGCTTGCAGTCCAGGATGGATGACAATGCCTAGCGTTTCCTGAGCACCTACTGCCTGCTGGGCCCTGTGAGCGCTAGCGAAGACTAGTTACACACTGAACCCTCACCCACCCCAGTGGGGTAGGTACTGCGATTAACCCCACGTGACGGAGGAGGAAACAGGCCCACAGAGAAGTGACCTGTCCAGGGCTCCGCAGCAGGGGCCTGGCAGAAGCAGGAGGGGCACTGGCAGCCGCCTGGCCCCACCTTGTTCTCAGTGGCCTGCTTCTCCTTCTCGGCCTTGGCCAGCGTCAGCTCCAGGTCGTCGATGTCCTTCTTGAGTTCCGTGCACTCATCCTCCAGCTTGCGCCTGCGGGCAGCCAGCTCGGCGTTCACCTCCTCCTCATCCTCCAGCCGCTCACTCAGCTCCTTCACCTTCCCCTCAAGCTGCACCTTGGACTTGATCAGCAGGTGGCAGCGCTCCTCAGCATCTGCCAAGTTGTCCTGCTCCTAGAGGGGCACAGAAGGTGAGGCAGGCCGGGCAAGCCAGCCAAGGGGCCCGGCTGGGCCCTGGGGAAGCAGCATGTTTGCCCGCGTCAAGGCCAGACTCAGCTGGGGCCGGGGACCAAGGAGTGCCTGTGCGCCGCTCTTGGCCCTGAAGGGGCTCAGGCGGGATGAGGGCCTGGGTGGAAGGATGGGCAGGGGCAGAAGTGACACCTCCAAGAGGGGAACGTTCGGCTGGGGACAGCCCAGAGTGAGGCCCAAATGAGGGCTCTAGGAGAGAAGCACTGGCCTGAGGCCTGAGGAGGTGGGGTGGGGACCAGTGGGCGTCCAAGTCCCTGCACAGCCGTGGGGTGCCAGGTCCTCTTCCACCTCACTGTTTCCTCACTGTGCCAGGCGGCCTCACTGCCAGGGGCCTAATGTCGTCCTGCACTAGCAGGTGAGCTTTGTGACCACAGGCCCATCTCTGACTTCCCCACAATGTATCTCCAGAGCCAGCCTGGCACGCAGGTGACACGAAGTATTTGCTGAAGGACAGACGGTGCTGTGGGCCTGGGGGGATTCAGGACCCTTGATCCCTGCCCTCTGGTTGTTACTGTTACCTGCCACCTGGGTTCCCATGGCCCTTTACTAGAGAGGGGAGTAAGGAGGGGAGAACTGGGGAGATAGGGCTCCACTGCAGATGTAGCAGGAAGCCAAGGTAAGGTGGCACAGGGGTGGGTGGACAGGATGTGGGGACAGATAGCCTGTGGCTCGGAAGGCTGGCGATGTAGGAGGCTGAGCGTGGGCACAAGCCCACAGCTTCACCTTGTGGCACCTCTGGAGTAGGAAGATAGATCCAGGTAAGGCCTGGGCACCTGGCCCACACCAGGTCTGCCCTGGCCGGGGGTCTGGGGCTAACTGTGGGTGCCAGGGGGTAGCAGATCACTGAGGAGAACCCTCCCCCCTTCTGCTCCTCCACTCACTGCCTGCAGCTGCAGGGCCAGGTCATTCTTTTCCTGGGTGATGCTGACGTGTGTCTCCTCCAGCTCCTGTCGCTTGGCCTCCGCAGTTGCCAGTGCCCCTCGCAGCCCCCGTAGCTCTGCCCGCAGGGCCGCCAGCTCCTCCTCGGCCTGTGCTGAGCGCAGCAGCGGCTTCATCTTAAAAAAGAGCTTCATCCATGACCAATTCTTGACGGCATTGAAGGCCCGGATGTTCCACTGGATGGTGAACAGGGCATCCCTGGGGACGGGCAGTAAGAGGTGATCAGAGGCTGAGTGCTGTTCCCTTCACAGTAACAGCCCTGATGTTCCCTGAGCACCTTCCCAGGGCCACGCTCTTCAGGGTATGAGCTTCCTTAATGCTCTCAAACACCCTCCCAAGTAGGTCCTAATGCCTCTGCTTTACAGGTGAGGTTGAGGGAGAGGCCCTAGGTCACACAGGTATGCCTCCAGGGACAGGGCTCATGGGCCTCGAATGTCATGGTGGCCCTTGCATGTGTTCCAAAGATACCAGGAGTGGCGAAGCCACTGGGTTCTGGGATCAGACCGCCTGGGCTCACATCCCCACCTCCTCCCTTTCCACTGCTGGCCAGCTGTGACAGGACAGTTCTGACTCAGACACCCCCTCTGCTGAATGGAGATAATAACCATATGCATGTCTTAGGACCATCCCATCCTTTACACGAGATAACGCACATAAATTCCCCTTCCTGGCACTTAAGAGTCTTGGAAAACACGAGATGCCATTATAAACACTCTGGGCCACACACTGGGATGGCCTGGAGTGGAAAGATCAGTGCTTTACCCTGACTTTTGAGGTGAGGAAATGGAAACTGGGGGGTTGAGGGGCACAAAACAGAACCTTGCCCCTCAGAGACACCCCAACTAACTATAGGGGTAATCTGACCCACAGGATAGTATGACAGGGCTCAAAGAGCCTGGTGGTTCCCTGAGCCAGGGGACAGTGGTCCCACCACAACCTCTGTCCTCTACCCCCGTCCCACACCCACCTGCCTCCAAGCAGGCGCTGGTACTCGAGGCGCATGAGGCGGCCCCGGCTCCGCGCCTGCAGCAAAGTCAGAACCTTGGCCAGACGCTGGTCGCGAAGCTCCTCCAGGATGCCTAGAAGCCCAGCCTTGAAGAACACCTGGGTGGGGTGGGGCAACAGGTATAACCTCCAACCACCAGCATGTCTCCTGTCCAGTATGACCACCCATGCATGGGGTCAGCCCTCACTCCTGTGTGCCCTGACCTTGGTGTGGCCAAACTGGTACTGGGTGTGGTCGATGTCCAAGGAGCCTAGCAGCTTCTCTGTGGCCTTCCTGCTGTCCATGAAGGTGTCATCAGGGATGGCACTGGGGTTCAGGATGCGGTACCTGGGACAGCAGGGAAAGGCTGGTGAGGAGGGGGCTGGGCAGGGAGCCAAGGACTAAGGAGGCTGGTGCGGGGAATGGGGAAGTATTTGATGCTGGAGCAGAGGCTTCAGGGGACACACATGAACAAGCTGGCAGGGGAAGCATCGCAACACTAGGGGGTGGGTGTGTTCTTCCGAAAACCCTCGGGTTGTGTTTAAATATATTCAGTAGTTCGGTTCTTTAGAAGCTGCAGTGCTTACAAAAGACTTGCAGCACTTTTATAATTTTTTTAAGGAGCTGATATAGTATAGCATATCTCAAACCAGAGGAATATTTGGTAGAGAATTCTAACCAACAAGTGGACACTCTTGCATGTGTGCACAGGGCTGTGCACCTCAGGTTGGCTGTGGCCACACTGAAAGAAAAACCCTAGGAACACAAAAGGCCCCACACTAGGGACTGACAAGGAAAGCAGGCACCTGGCGATGGGGTATTTCACAGGACATCGCTACACGTTCATCCAAAGCCACAGAATGTATGACCAAGAGAGACCCCGAGTGTCAGCTGTGGACTCGAGGTGGTGACGATGAGTCGTGTAGGTTCGGCAGTGGTAACAAATGTGTACGGGGTTAGGGAGAATATGGGAAATTTCTGTACTTACCTCTTAATTTTGCTATGAACCTAAAACTGCTCTAAAAAATAAAGTTTTAATTTTACAAAAAGGGTGATGATACAGATTTATCCCTGTTGATACGGAACAATCTCTAAGACGTACGGTGACGTGAAAAAACAAACTCAGGCGTGTGTGTCTGTGTGCGCACACGTGCAGTATTTGTATGAACATACATGTATAATGGTCAGCCTGGATGACCAGTTACTTCTGGAAGAGGAGGGAGCTTAGGCTGCTAGTTGCCTGACAAAACCAAACTGATAAAGGGCGGGGAGGAGCCAACTGTACTGACTGAGTGCTCACGAGGGGCCAGGCGTGATGTAGGGCCTAGTCCATGTGAACGGTCATTCGGTTCCCACATCTGCCCCAGCTCTGCCTGCCCCCAGCTCCGACTAACAACTCCAGTCTCGCCCACGACTTCTCTAGGACATCCACTGGAGACATTTCAAATCTGACGTGTTCAAAGTAGAGCTCAATTCACTATCTCCCCAATCCCCCAAAATCAAAAACCCTGTTTTGGTATCTCAGTAAATCTATCACCAACTCCCCAGCTGCTCAGCCAAACCCCTGGAAGTCCCCCTTGTCTTCTCTCTTATTCTGTATCCGATTCATCAGCAAGGCCTGTTGGCTGCACCTCGAGTTTCCCCCAAGCCTGCCTGTTACTCCCCGCAGCTGGCCCCCAGGTCTCAGCCACCACCATCTCCCACTGGGACTCCTGCTCAGCCCCCTGCCCCAGTCCCAGTGCATGCCCCTCCGTGATGGGAACTGTATTTGGCTCTAAAATGTACCCTCCTCACCCCCGCAGGCTGCTGCCTCAGCCCGGGTGGAGGACAAGGGGGAAGGTGGCTGTGTAGGGGGAGCTGGGGGAGCCAGGGCTGGAGTAGGGAGACACCCACCGTTGCCGGAAGTCGGCATAGAGCAGCCTGTTGGGGAATCCTTGGCGGCAGATCCGGATACCCTCTAGGACCCCATTGCAGCGCAGCTGGTGTAGCACCAAGAAGGCATCCATGACCCCTGGACGGGTGGGAGTTAAAGGAAAAGGTCAGAGGTCAATGGACACACCCTCATGCCTGGAAAAAAGACCAATAGTCCACAATTGGGCATCTGGGGAAGGGGAAGATCCAGCTTCTAGTCCACCCTGGCCCCTTTCTCCAAAGTTCCCCCACTACCACCCACCCAGCCCCAGGGTGACTACCTGGGGTCTTATTCTCATTGGGGACAATGCAACGGACAAAGTGGGGCTGTGTGGCCCGCAGGTTGGTCATCAACTTGTTGAGGTTCTCCTGGAGGCGGGGAGAGGTGAGAAGGCACACAGGGCAGAGAAGCAGAATTGGAAACCTCAGTGGGTCAGCGCGCTAAGGACTGGGGGCAGGCGCCTCCACCTGCCTCCACACAGCTGTCCTTTCACACTTTTCTGTGACCCGCTGCCCTCTTCTGCTCCACTGTGTCCCTGTCACCAAGGTCTTCATTCCCCACCCAATCCCCCGCAGGCTCCCACTCCACCCCCCAAACCCTGCCCAGGCAGCGAGGGGACGGGAAGCAGCACAGACTTGCTGTGATGTTCACGTGGAGAGGAGTTAAACATCACTGCAAGTCTTAACGGCCTCCCGCCCAGGGTGCAGGGGGCAGAGCGGGGCGAGAACCGGGCTGGAGGCCACGGGGTGAGGCCTGCATGGGGCCCAGGCTGGGCCTCACCTTGTGCAGCTGGGACACCGTCTGGAAGGATGCTGCCTTTTTACGCTTCTCTTTCACACCAGACTTTGGGGGCTCCGCTAGGAGAGGCATGGGACCAGTCACTCCAGGGACGTCGCTCTGTGAGTCCCCTACAGAATGGCAATGTAGTCCCTCAGTACTCACTGGAGCAGGAGCCTGCATAGTTCTCGTAGAGGGTAGCCAAGAGCTTGTTCTGTGACTTTTGGAAGATGGGGACCACAGTCTCATTCAGTGGATCCTTGTTTTTCTCCAGCCAGCCCACGATGCTGTAAGGCACCTGGCAGAGATCAGACGGGTGCTGAGTCAAGGTGGAGAAGCCTGGGGGAAGGTAGTCAAGAGCTGGGGTTCCAATAGGCACCTACCACACCCGCATAGTGGACCACCTCAAAGTGGGCCTGGTATTTGCGCTTCTTGTCAGGCCTTGGCTGCTGGAAATTGGGAGACTTCCCTGCGTGGTTATCATAGAGCTTGGCCCGGAAGCTGGCGTCGGAGGCCTTGGGGAACATGCACTCCTCCTCCAGGATGGACAGGATGCCCAGGGGCTGCGGATGGGGAGCAAGCTTGAAGGGCTGCCACTGTGCCAGGCCATCCTCCCGCAGCACCTCTTTCTGGGAACCTTCCCAAATGCCCCCACCTTAGCCACCTGCTCAGAGACCAGAGGGACAGAGACCAGACCCGCACCCAGGAGCCCCGTCTTCTAAGACAGGAAGAAAAATTTGTACCTTGGCCTTGGCCCTCTTCTGCACAGTTAGCAGCTCTGAGTTGTTCTCTTTGCTTATGAGAATTGTGCAAACTCAAACTGGCACCTCTCTACCCATCAGCCCCAGCTCAATGATCTCATACACACACAGGTACAGTCAAAAAGTTCAAATTTTGGCTTCCTCACTTACTAGCTGTGGGGTCCTTAGACCTCCCTAAGCCTCAATTTCCTAACCTGCAAAATGAGAGAATAAATAATTTATGCTGCTTTAACAACAAACAAACACCCAAAACCAAAAAATAACTGTCTACCACTAAATAAATGTCCAATGGGAGATTCCAGATATGCATTGTCTGAAACCCATCTGCTGTGTGAACTATTGTGGCTCTTCAATAGCGTTCAATGTTCAAAATACATTTTCAAAGAAAAAGAGAAGTGAGTCTGTGTCTGTGAGTGAAAACAAGGCCCAGGATACAGGGCTTGGAGGAAACGAACCAAAGTGCCAGGATTCTGGTTGTGTGAAGATTGGGGGAAACATTTTTTCCCGTCACTTCTCACTCTTCTAATTTTCTTTGGTTTTCCTTTCTCCTGTTCTTTGCACAATGGGGAGATGTATGTAATGTTTCACAATCAAACAAATAAGCAAGCACACCCTTCACCCCACATCCAGGGCAGTTCTGAGGGCCCAGTGAAATCGTGGCTGCAACAGGGCCTTGTGAGTGCAAAACTGTGTCCACCCACGAGGGGCTGCTGTTGACAGAGCTGGGATGCACTCTCACACTCTCGTTGCTCACACACTCACCACCATGCTTTCACACGGCCTCCAGCACACATTCCCACTCCCACTCATGGCATGTACAGAGACACGGTCACAACCATATACACGCACAAGCTCACTTCAATGCACAATCACACACTTACACGCACACTTGCACGCGCTCGCTCACCGCACCCACGCCCTCTCCCTGCAGTGAGCTTGCAGGGCTCCACCTTCTCGATGAGGTCGATGCAGGGCTGCAGGTCCAGGCCAAAGTCGATGAAGACCCAGTCGATGCCCTCCCGCTTATACTCCTCCTGCTCCAGCACGAACATGTGCTGGTTGAAGAACTGTTGCAGCTTCTCGTTGGTGAAGTTGATGCACAGTTGCTCAAAGCTGTTGAACTGCAGAGAGAGAAAAGAAGGAAAGAAATAAATTTTAAAACACAAAAACTGCAGAGAGGTGCGGGCTCAGCAGGCCTCCTTGCAGATGGGGGACGGAGGCCCAGGGCAGAACAGGGATGTGCCTGAGTTCACCCCAACCCCAGGCAGAAGCCCAGAGCTTCTGCACCCACCCACCCATGGTCCTGAACCCTGGAGAGCACAGCCTGGGGTGTGGGCTGTTGTCACCTCAAAGATCTCAAAACCAGCGATGTCCAGGACCCCGATGAAGAACTGCCGGGGCAGCTTCGTGTCCAGTGTCTGGTTGATCCGCGACACCAGCCACCGGAACAGCCGATCGTAGGTGGCCTTGGCCAGAGCCCCCACGGCAAACACGACCTGGAGGGATGGGTATGCTGGGCCGGGACCCGGCAAGGGGGGACCCTGCCCCCAGGCGGGCCCTGGCCTGTGAGCAGCTCACCTGCTCCACGCTCTGGCCCTTGATCACGTACTCATTCCCCACACGCACTCGGGGGTGCAGAAGGCCTTTGAGGAGGTCCCCACTGTTGACTCCCATCAGGTAGGCGGCCTTGTCGGCACCTGGCAGGGCACATGGGTGGGGTGAAGGGGAGGAAGTCAAGAATTTAAGCGCCTGGGGGCTCAAGTGGCCTCAGCCTGGCATGAGGACAGGGAGGTTAGGAGGGGTCAAGCTCAGGGTCTACAAATTGTACAGCTCAGGAAGGTGAGGGTCGGGTGTTGAGAAGCCAGGGTTATAATCGGGGCCAGTTAGGACCGAGGTCCAAGGTTGTGGACAGCGTTAGGGTCAGTGGTCATGAACAAGCCTTTGGGATCAGGGCTGGGCCCTCACTCTCGGTGCCATCGGCCTCAGCCTGCTCCTCCCGCTGCTTCTGCTTGAACTTCATGTTGCCGAAGTGCAGGAGGGCACCTACGATCTTGTAGCAGGCGCACTTCTCATCCACACTGAAGCCCAGGATGTCCATGGCATGCTGCAGTGGGAACGGTGGGACCAGAGAAGTCTGGGCTCCTCCAGGGTCCAGCCAAGCTAAGTGCCTTGAAACTGCTCCCTGATCCCTACCCAGCCCCACGCGGCCCACACTGCAGGCGCCCCGCTCTGCTCCCACCCCAGACATACATCAGTGGCCATGAGCTCTTCCCCATCATCCATGTTGTCCACGGTGATGACGCCCTGGCTGCAGAAGTGGTAGTCGTAGGGATTCATAGACAGAAGCAGCATGTCTGGGGAACACGGGAGAGAGGGTGGGTCCGGCAGTGTTCACCTGGCTCTCCTCCTACCCCCATCCCAGCACGGTAGGTCCTGGGAGAGTCCCTATGTCTTACACATCCCCCCACCGTTGCTCACGCCACCCCTCTGGCCCAGACCCTGTGCTGGGGCACAGCGAGGACCAGGCTCTGCCCTCAAGGGGCTTACAAGAGAGTGGAGCTGGGCCTAGACAGAGCCATTGATCCTTCTTGGTGCTGGGTAGGGTCTCTAATCTCAGGAGAGCAAGAGGGACAACTTTGCAGAGGAGTGGCACTACAGGGTCAGTTTCCTGCGTGAGAGAGGGCTCAGCAATAACCAAAAGTCCTGGGAAGGGAGTGGGGGAACAGAAGGGGCTCAGAGGAAAGACTGGATGTCACGGACCCCAGAAGAGTAAGGGAATAGACATCCCAGGGCCTGGAGAGATGGGGACAGGCAGTCTCTGTGCTCCACGCCATCCACCCGGGCCCTCACCCTGCAGCTCTGGCTTCTTGCCCGAGAGGATCTGGTAGTACACGTGGTAGCCACGCTCCCCGGGCAGCTGGAAGATCACCCGCGACTTCTCCAGGAGATCTGGGAGAAACAGCAGCGCTGGCCTACTGGCCTCTGCACCTCCCCAGAGCGATTGCCCCAATAGGGCTGAAGGGGCAGGGCAGAGGCGTGGGTGAGGGGCAGGGGTGTGTGTGTGGAGGGACTGCTGCACGTATCTGCACATACTAAAGTGTGTCTCTCCGTCTGTGCACATCACAGTGTGGGAATGTGTGCGTGTTTGTCTATATGCCGTGTGTAATTGTGTGGGTTTGTGAATGTGGGTGTCTGTGGGGGGTCTTCATTTGTCCACTCTTTCACCTATGCTTTCATTCCTTCACCCACAACTGTACTCCTTTCCTCCCGAGGTGCTGGAGTACCAGCGTGTGTGTGGAGCAGAGCCCTGGTGTGTCTGATGTGTCGGTCGGGGTATGAATTACGATGTGCCCTGCCCATCACCATATATCTGTGCTTATCCATCAGGATCTGGCCATGAATCCCAAGGTGGGCAGCATGCAGTGTGAGGCCCCTCTGTGCATGTGGCCAGGGCACCCCTCTGTGCAGCTGGGCTGGGTAAGGGGTGATGGGCAACAATCCCCGACAGCCGTTAGGAGGGGCTTCCAGGAAGAATGGGGACTTGATNGGGGCACAGCGAGGACCAGGCTCTGCCCTCAAGGGGCTTACAAGAGAGTGGAGCTGGGCCTAGACAGAGCCATTGATCCTTCTTGGTGCTGGGTAGGGTCTCTAATCTCAGGAGAGCAAGAGGGACAACTTTGCAGAGGAGTGGCACTACAGGGTCAGTTTCCTGCGTGAGAGAGGGCTCAGCAATAACCAAAAGTCCTGGGAAGGGAGTGGGGGAACAGAAGGGGCTCAGAGGAAAGACTGGATGTCACGGACCCCAGAAGAGTAAGGGAATAGACATCCCAGGGCCTGGAGAGATGGGGACAGGCAGTCTCTGTGCTCCACGCCATCCACCCGGGCCCTCACCCTGCAGCTCTGGCTTCTTGCCCGAGAGGATCTGGTAGTACACGTGGTAGCCACGCTCCCCGGGCAGCTGGAAGATCACCCGCGACTTCTCCAGGAGATCTGGGAGAAACAGCAGCGCTGGCCTACTGGCCTCTGCACCTCCCCAGAGCGATTGCCCCAATAGGGCTGAAGGGGCAGGGCAGAGGCGTGGGTGAGGGGCAGGGGTGTGTGTGTGGAGGGACTGCTGCACGTATCTGCACATACTAAAGTGTGTCTCTCCGTCTGTGCACATCACAGTGTGGGAATGTGTGCGTGTTTGTCTATATGCCGTGTGTAATTGTGTGGGTTTGTGAATGTGGGTGTCTGTGGGGGGTCTTCATTTGTCCACTCTTTCACCTATGCTTTCATTCCTTCACCCACAACTGTACTCCTTTCCTCCCGAGGTGCTGGAGTACCAGCGTGTGTGTGGAGCAGAGCCCTGGTGTGTCTGATGTGTCGGTCGGGGTATGAATTACGATGTGCCCTGCCCATCACCATATATCTGTGCTTATCCATCAGGATCTGGCCATGAATCCCAAGGTGGGCAGCATGCAGTGTGAGGCCCCTCTGTGCATGTGGCCAGGGCACCCCTCTGTGCAGCTGGGCTGGGTAAGGGGTGATGGGCAACAATCCCCGACAGCCGTTAGGAGGGGCTTCCAGGAAGAATGGGGACTTGATGTGTAGAGATAATAAGGCTGGGTCAGGAGGGGCACCAGTCCACCCTGCTAGGGCCAGAGAAATGACGTGTGGGGTAAGAGCTCAATCATAAAGAGCATGACTAGCCAAATAAGGATTTGGGTCTCCATCTTAAGGTGATAAGATCTAGGAAAGATTCCTAAGCAGGAACACAATGGGGTCAGATTAGCATCCATGAAAAGGTCATTCTGGCTGGAAGGTCAAGCAGAGGAATGCAGGCTGGGAGGCCACACGGAGGCTGGTGGAATATTCCAGGTGGAAGTGAGGTGGCCTGAGCTGCGCAGTCGCCAGGGGATGGAGAGAAGTGCCTGAAACAGGCGGGAGCCCCAAGGACTTGATGGATGCTCAGTCAGAACAGAAAGACTCTGGCCAAGGCCTCTGTCCCTGTCCCATCGGGCCCCTCGCCCAGACTCACAGCTGTCAATATCCGAAGATGCCAGCTTCCCAGAGGGCCCGAAGTGAATGCGGATGAACTTGCCCTGTGGGCAGAGGCGCAGGCCCAGTCAGAGGGCCCAGTCGGTGCTGCCCATCAGCCAAGGCTCCCACCACCTCACGTCTCCCTGCTGCTGATCTTGTCCC